TTTTTTTTGTTTAATAATCATAAAGATGCAGAAGAAAATTACCCTTAATACTTTCATGATGGTAAAGTTATAGCATATATTTTTACCCTCAGGCTGACAAAGAATAAACTTCAACATTTATAATTTTCTCTGTAATCCTACCCCTCCAATATCTTGTCTCTACTGTATGAAAATAGGTGAAAGGTCATCATAAAAATAGAAAAAACCAAGTCATGCTGGATATGATTGGGTCCAGATAATAAACCAGAAATTGTGTATTTTGACTATTTTGACCTGATCATAAATTCTCTCACCCTGTAAGTTTATGATGATCAATGACGCAATCATTCGTTTAAAAGCCTGTGCACATGTCATATATATTTAGGGTAGAGCAAAGGATGTACTGTGTTGTTTTATTTTGAGAAATTCTTTTTGTACATGGGTGGTTTTAAAATAAGTTAAAAAAAGACCACGTGTTGTAAAATTATTCTATCCATTCCCCTACAGAGTTGAACATCTGCCATAGTTGTTCGGTCAAATGAAACATTGTCTTGGAACTTAGAGCTGACTGTTCACTGAAAACCGAATGAATTATTTTTTTATTAAAAAAAAAGGGAACAAGAAAGAAAATACACAAATTACGTCATTATACCAGCAGGAAACTAAGTAAACATACAAAAATAGGTTTTGAGGTTTTTCACTTATTATGTTTTTAAAATGTTAAAGCAAGCGGTAGTTAAGTGTGTACTTACTCGAAGAAATAAACATGAAAATTCGTTCTAAGTTTACTGTACTTATGTAAGGACAGTTATTAAGATAACAATGAAGCGGTATTCACCACATTACACAACTTCATAACAGTACTCATTTTTTAATCGATAGTATCCAAACCTATCAGTGACTAATTTTAATCTCAAACTGTTAGTTTTCATTCCAGTGGTCAACATTTCAGGTAATTCATAATACAGTTACTTAGCCTCTGATCTTTCATGAATAGATTTATTTACAACACTTAAAAAGATGGAACAAATATATCTCCACTTATCCTAAATCGAATGTCATAGCAAATTATACCTAAAATATTTCTTATTTGCATAGTAGCAATAAACTTTAGAGCATTACTTACTTACTTACTTACTTACTTACTTACTTACGCCTGTTACTCCTCACGAAGGAGCATAGGCCGCTCGCCAGCATTCTCCATCCAAACCTGTCCTGGGCAATCCTTTCAAGCTCTTTCCAGTTCTTATTCATCTTTTTCATATCTGCTTCTATTTCCCGACGTAATGTGTTCTTTGGCCTTCCTCTTTTCCGCTTCCCTTCAGGATTCCAAGTTAGCGCTTGTCTCGTAATGCAGTTTGATGATTTCCTCAATGTATGTCCTATCAATTTCCATCGTCTTTTCCTAATTTCCTCTTCAGCTGGAGGCTGGTTGGTTCTCTCCCACAGAAGGCTGTTGCTGATGGTATCCGGCCAATGGATGTTGAGTATCTTGAGTAGACAGATATTGATGAATACTTGTACCTTCTTGATGGTGGTTGTTGTAGTTCTCCAAGTTTCAGCTCCGTACAGTAGAACTGCCTTGACGTTCGTATTGAAGATTCTGACTTTGATATTGGTTGAAAGTTGTTTTGAGTTCCATATGTTCTTCAGTTGAAGGAATGCCGCTCTAGCTTTGCCAATCCTCGCCTTGACGTCTGCATCTGAACCTCCTTGTTTATCGACGATGCTTCCCAGGTATGTGAAGGATTGCACGTCTTCCAGAGTTTCGCCATCAAGAGTGATTGGATTGCTGTTCTCCGTGTTGTGTTTGAGGACCTTGGTTTTCCCTTTGTGTATTTTGAGGCCTACTGATGCAGAGACTGCTGCTATGCTGGCTATCTTTATCTGCATTTGTTCGTGCGTATGCGATAGGAGGGCTAGGTCATCTGCGAAGTCCAAGTCGTCTAATTGGGTCTGAGCTGTCCATTGTATGCCGTGTTTCCCCTCACATGTCGAGGTCTTCATAATCCAGTCGACCACCAGAAGAAAGAGGAAGGGGGAGAGTAGACAGCCTTGTCTTACTCCGGTCCTTACTTGGAATGCGTCTGTCAGCTGTCCTCCATGCACTACTTTGCACTGTAGTCCATCGTATGAGTTCCGGATAATGTTGACAATCTTCTCAGGAACTCCGTAGTGTCGAAGAAGTTTCCATAACGTCCTCCTATCTACACTGTCAAATGCCTTCTCATAATCAATGAAGTTGATGTAGAGTGACGAGTTTCACTCAACTGATTGTTCGACGATGATCCGTAGTGTCGCAATCTGGTCTGTGCACGACCAGTCCTTACGGAATCCAGTTTGTTGATCTCGAAGTTGAGCGTCTACTGCGTCTTTCATCCTGTTCAGTGACATTCTGTTGAAGACTTTTCCTGGTATTGACAGTAGTGTAATGCCTCTGTAATTTTCACACTTGCTCAGATCTCCTTTATTTGAAATCTTGATGAGGTGTCCTTCTTCCCAGTCCATCGGCACTTGTTCCTCTTCCCAAATCTTCTTGAATAGAAGATGAAGCATGCTTGTAGTTACTTCGATGTCTGACTTCAGCGCTTCAGCTGGTATATTGTCAGGTCCTGCTGCTTTCCCGCTCTTGATTTGTCTGATGGCCATTCTGATTTCTTCGGTCGTTGGTGGATTGACATTTATAGGAAGATCTGTGTGTGCTGCTTCGATGTCCGGTGGATTCATTGGAGCCGGCCTGTTCAGGAGTTCCTCGAAGTACTCTGCCCATCTGTTCCGCCGTTGTTGAATCTCAGTGATTGGTCTTCCTTCTTTGACTTTGACTGGTCTCTCTGGTTTACTGTATTTCCCTGCAAGCTTCTTCGTCGTATCGTAAAGCTGTCTCATACTTCCTTCTCTTGCAGCTTTTTCCGCCGTCTTTGCTAGTTCTTCCACGTATTTTTGCTTGTCAGCTCTAATGCTCTTCTTCACTTTCTTGTTTGCTTCTATGTACTCTGCTTGTGCTTGGACTTTCTCTGCTCTTGTTCGACTGTTGTTAATTGCTGTCTTCTTGTTCTTTCTTTCTTTGATCCTGTCCAGTGTTTCTGTAGAGATCCATTCCTTGTGATGATGTTTCTTGGGGCCCAGAACCTCTTGACACGTTGAAGTTAATGTTTCTTTGATACCTTTCCAGCTATCCTCCATAGTAGTTTCTTCTTCCTTCAGTAGATCCTGTAAGGCTTGGAACCTGTTGTTGAGAGCTACCTTGAATTCATTGAGTTTGTCTGTATCTCGAAGGAATGCTGTATTGAGACTTTGTGGTGCTGTTTGTCCAGTTGTCCAGTTCTTCTTTAGCTTCAGTTTCAATTTGGCCACAACCAGGTGATGATCTGAAGCTATGTCCGCTCCTCTCCTGGTTTTCACATCTTCCATTGTCCTTCGGAATATTTTATTGATGCAAATATGATCTATCTGGTTCTCTGTGGTGTGGTCCGGTGAGATCCATGTAGCTTTGTGTATACGTTTGTGTGGAAATGTTGTGCCGCCTATGACCAATTTATTGAATGCACACAGATTTGCAAATCTTTCCCCGTTTTCGTTTCTATCTCCCAGTCCATGTAGTCCCATGATGTCTTCATATCCGGTGTTGTCCATTCCGACTTTGGCGTTTAGATCTCCCATCAGAATGGTGAGGTCCTTTCTTGGGCACTTCTCTATGATTGATTGCAGCCTCTCATAGAATTGATCTTTAACGTCATCGTTGCTATCATTGGTGGGTGCATAACATTGGATAATGTTCATTGTGATCCCCTCCTTCCTTGTTTTGAATGATGCTTTGATGATTCTGGATCCGTGAGATTCCCATCCTACAAGTGCATTTCGTGCTAATTTGGATGGCATTAAAGCAACTCCCTGAGTGTGTGGAGCATTTTCCTCTTCGTGACCGGAGTATAGCAGCATCTCTCCCGTATTTAGCCTTTGTTGTCCAGCTTGGGTCCAATGGGTTTCGCTGATTCCCAGTACTGCCAAGTTGTATCTCCTCATTTCCGTTGCTATTTGACTGGTCTTCCCGGTCTCCCACATTGTCCAGACGTTCCATGTACCTATACAAATTGTTGCTCTGGTTGTCAGAAGAGGCATCGGCCTCGTGGCTACGAAGGAACTCGGCTTTCTCCATGAAGCGTCATATTACCTCTAACTCCCAGGGCAGAGTTTAAATGGTTTGAGTTATTTTTTCTGGTTAGCGTTTTTTTAGCGAGTTAGTTTTCTACGGGATGGGGACGCTAACCCCATGCCCAACCCTCCTCCTTTACCCGGGCTTGGGACCGGCAGTAACTCTGGAAGAGCTACAGGCGGAGTTACTTTAGAGCATGACTGAAAATATATATGTATATGTATATGTATAGAATAATGTTGAAACATTATGGTAAATTCAGTATATTTATCAAAAAGGAAAATCAATTATCAGTTTAGTTACAACCAAATAAGATTTTAGAAATTATAGCCACGAATAGATAATTTTCACTTATCGTCTTCAGTTGTAAAATAACGAACGTTTTGATACTCAGTAATTCGACTAATTTGGTTGTAAATATTTATTAAATATACATTGCAGTTCCTGGAGATTTGAGTCAAGTGTGGAATTATTGATTCACTGAACCTTTCTATAGCTTTGATACCTTGTCAAATTATTCTGTATAATTTCATTTGTATGTTCCAGTGAGATCGACTTCAGTTTATTCTCTTTTTTTCAAAGAAAACCAGATCAGAAAATACTAAGTTAGCGCAGTGTGATGTTGAACAGAATTTAAATATAAACATTGATTTTTGGTTTTACTATTTAAAAAAACAATGAAGATCTTAGATTTAAACCGTTCACGCATAATTCACCCAAATCTTTCATGTGAACAATGAGTCAACTACCTAAATATTCGCTGATTTATTCAAAATAGAATAACTTTGTTTTTACAAACTTATTCATTTCCAAAGACGAAATACGGTTTGAAAAACTAAATCACTTTTTATTGGTTATTTTTACACAGTACTGAAGAACTATTTCCAGAAGGACACCCTTCTGCTCAAAGTTCCTATCAGGAGGAACCATTTATAAATACAGATTGCTGTTCAAAATTTGATGTATCTGGTGTAGATCTTGAACAAGCATCAGCTATTATAAATATGGTACACACTGTAAACGGAGTACAACAATACACAGAAACAAACAGCGAAAACTCCTTATTAAAGCATAATCATTCATACAGCCTCAGCGATTACAAAGGTAATCCAAATCAATATTCATGTCCTCGATCAGAATTAAATATAAGTGCCGGCTATCCGATTACTTCTATTCATAATACTACTGAAGAACACACTTCACTTGAGATTAGCTCTGAAACACAAAGAGCATTGGAATCATCGAACAGTACTCCTCCATCAATTGAAAACACCGATATTCACTGTCAAGAAAAATCTAATTTATTGCTTACTCCATCTCAACATTCTCCCTTACCCAAAACTACATTAAGCGATCAAATGATCACTTCTAACTGGATAAAAAGTGATCAATGGAATATCAATTGTTCAGTATCCAACCATCAATCAAATGAGCGCCAAAATTCCTATTGTTTTAAAAAAGACACAAATGAACATGTATTTTTAGACTACAATGATGCAAATTCAACTGTTATACAATCCCCTGATGCTTTTACAGATGATCAAACAGGTAAATAAATTTACTGTTTGTATTTTAGAATATTCTAATTAAAGAAGCCATATTCCATTCAACCGTCATACTAACAATAAAATCTTAGACCATTTCATAATCAAATGTTTGTAGTTTACTTAAGGAAAATTTTTTAGGTGAATAGTGTTTTTCACTTATCTATCAAATACTTATCAAGTAAACTATATTTAGATAGGTAAGTATACTAAAAATTTCTTGTCATGCAATCGAACAAGTCGTTAAACAAATAATTCTAAAGAATTATTACTTGTGAATATATTACCATTATCAAATACTACGAACCATGAACCATGAAGTTGTTTTTGATTAATCTTCAATGTTAAAATGAGCATATAAAATTTTATATCAGACTGAGCACCACAAAATATCATATTTCATATCAATACATCAATTATAATTTATCATTTCGAGTGTTTCTTTGGACAACTGATGATGTATAATTGTAGGTCAGTAACTCATATATTGGTATTGTGTAAACAGTGATGCAGTATTCTGTCGGTCAATGATATTAATAAGAAAAAGAGCTTTCGATTAAAGTATTCATACTTTCTTCTTTCCTTTCTCATAGGTCATTCCATAATTAGTAGTGATGCACAATCATCTGGTGACGAATCAGATGAAGGAATGAGTTTAGTTAATTTCGAACACTTTACGAATTCAATGCAACCAAATCATGCTGGTTTATATTTCTGTCATTTATGTGATTTTGCAGGTAAGTTATACAGTTGTCTGTTGATAATGAGTCCAAACTAAGCATTTTTGCATTTTGATGGTGTTACAAAATCTTGTATTGATTAGGAGGTTCCAGAATCAGTGTGAAATTTATTAGCAGTCAGATTATGAGTCGCGAATAAAACGAAATAGACATTTCTGATTCTATTGCTATAGACAAGCTAAATATAAAATACTACTTTATTGAGTTAACTATCAATTGCGTCTTTGATTGTAAATAAGTAGAACGTATACATTTTATTGTAATTTAATGCATATGGAGAATATCAGTTCAAGAAAACTCGATTTTCGAAATTTTGTAAAAAAAAATAGTGGTTGGAATGATATTTTAAATCCTTCAAGTATGCTAGCTTAGAATATGAGTTGTATTTGATGAGCTTAGATATATTCATATTATGATCACATAATTTGATATCACTCAGTAATTAGATGGTTGTTTCCTAATTCACAGAAAAAGGTAAGCTTTTAATCCTTTCTTCATGTGCTTAATTAGAATCAAAATTCTGATATAAATAAAGGATAGTTAAATGACAATAATGACTAATTAAAGTAGTAAATACGAATGCGAGTTCTGAGATTTGTCTTTTACCATCTAACAGTGAGATACACCAAGACATTAAACTGACCTAAAACTATATCACCTATTATCTTTAGGTGATTCATTCTCTCACTAAAGTCGATAATGCAGTTTTCTGTTATTTTTTTTAAATATGACAAATCTTTCAAAAGATTTTCAGTTTGAAGTAGCATTCCATAAAATCTTAATACAGGACGTTGTGCACAAAATCTGTTCTATAATGATTAAAATACTTGTTGAATAGTCTAAAAGTAATTTGCCCGTCCATTATGTTAAGTTCCCTGTGTCGCCATAAGTGTACACTGTCGGTGAGTTTTATCCAAGATAAAAACAGTCATCTGGTATTTTCAGTGATTTCTCAAGTAATGCTATACCGTGATAGAGATTATCTAGACAGTATAACCTATCTAACAAAACTATCTTATATTCTATGTAAATACAATCCTTCTATCTGTCGAAATTATTGTAATATGTGAAAGAATTTCATCCAAATTTTATATTATGAAAATACTATCTCTCCATGATATTTCACATAAATTAATTTTTATAAAATTTTTTAATTAGTAATAATTATTATTATTATTATCGTTCCCACTTCAGTAATGATCTTGGATGAAAGGACATCAGCATCTTTTTTCTTCTTCTTTAAGTTTTAGGTCAAATATATAATTCTACAATATATATATATATATATATATATATATATATATATATATATATATATATATAGTATTTTATTAAAATGTATTATTCTAATAAGAACTTTCTTACGTACAATAATATGCGGGTTTAATGTAAACAGAACATTTCACCTGAAATCCATTTTATCTATATACAATCAATTAAAGTAACCTTAAACATTGAAAAATTTTTTTAGAAAATAAAATTAACTTTTGTCTTTTGTTTGTAAAGAGTTTCGCAAAAAAAAACAAACAAATAAAAACCAACCTATTCATAGTTAATTTATCAGAAAATTTGATGTTAATTAAAACATGATAGTTTGAATGTTAGATTTAATGAATCAGAAGGGTTATTGTGCAGATTTTAAAAATTTTATTAGTTGAAATCATGAGTCACTCGAAGCTAGACCACAATGGAAAACCCAGAAGCACTGGACGGCCGTTTCGTCCTAGTATGGGACTCCTCAGCAGTGCGTATCCACGATCCCGCTCCTCGCGAGATTCGAACCCAGGACCTATCAGTCTCGCGCAAGTGCTTAATCTCTAGACCACTGATCTGGCCGATATTCAACAGTGTTAATGTCTAACTTCAACCAATCCACAAAATTGCGCCACCGTACACCATTGTCTTCAGTGAGCTTATATCTCACAACAGACCCGGTTGCACTCCATTGGCGCGGCTGGTTGAAGCTAGGCATTAACACGGTTGGATGCCGGATCAGTGGTCTAATGATTAAGCGCTCGTGCGCGAGCGTGACAGGTCCTGGGTTCGAGTCTTTCGGGGCGGCGGGATTGTGGATGCGCACTACTGAGGAGTTCCATACTAGGGCGAAACGACCTTCCAGTGCTTCCGGGTTTTCCATTGTGGTCTAGCTTCAATTGATTCATGATTCCAACTATTGAGATTTAAGACAGTAAATATTGTAGCTAATCAAAATTACTATTCAAGTTCATATAATTGAGGTGTATAATTGCCAACGCATAAAATTTTCTAATTCATGGCAATATTCAGACATTAAAAATCAATTTTGTTATTTGGTTATTTATATAAGCTTGAAATATTTAATGATAAGTGAAATTTCAAATGACTTATAAAATAAAAATAAAATTAATATTAAACGAATTAGTAATAATGACCTAAAGAACTTATACAATGTTTCTTTTTTTAAGAATTCTGAGTTCATAATTGAATTCATTAGTCGATCTAAGCTAGATCAGAATTGAAAACCTGGAAGCAATAGACTGTTGTCTCATCCTAGTATGGGACAACTCAGTAGTGCGTATCCATGATTACGCCACGGGACTCGAATCCAAGACTTTTAGTATCGCGCGCAAACGCTTGACTTCTAGACCACTGATCCAACCGGAATTCAACGGTGTCAATGCCTAACTTCAATCGATCCATGATCATTCACAACCTTTCATCCATTGTCTGAGGTGGATAACTGTCTCCGCTAGACACGGATTGAACTCCACTGGTTACAGCTTCTCACTAGAACTCCAATAAATGCATCTTGAATTTAGCTTAGATCGACTCATGAATTGAAATATCAAAATTACTACAATCTCCACAAATCCTCATTCTGATAATTCTGAGTTAAACAGTCTTAAATAAAAGAGCAGTGTTTGTTTAGCATACTACTTTGAATAATATAAATTTTCATTATAAATATTATCATTGAAAGTAATAACAGTGAAATCATTAAAATAAAGTAGGCATATAAACTGTCAAATAATGTTCAGTACAATATTAAAAAATGAAAAGAAGATAAGTATTACACTTTAATTTGATCTGGGCAATTAGAAAAGTAAACATAATTTAATTTCATTTGGAAAAAATAATAATTTCTGATAGTGTATTAAACTTTCTTTAAGTTTTAGTTTTTGCTAAGAAATAATGACAAGGTTGTGCTAGTTTATATAATTGAGTTCTTTCATTTGATCACAATAATTTGAATAATCAATATTGACAATTATAAAACTGACTATTTTTTACAACTTACATAAAGTTAACTTTTGCTTCCCAGTTTGTTTTTGTAAATTTTGATAATGAATTATGGAGATGATTTTGTCTTCGAAAGTGATTAACATGCATCTTATTCCGTTGACAACAATAAAGTGAGCGGTGACATATAAGAACTACAAATAGTTATTTTTAGAAATGATCAAGTCATTCACTTTGAAAATTCTATAAACTCTATGAATTAATTTCTTGTTAGTTAATTAATGGATATCATGTTAGTTAATTAATGGATATATAAATCATATACTGTAAGTCAACTGGAATAATATACTGTCACTTTATCATATCAACGGAGAAAATAATTTACTTGCCTGATGCAAACAACCCTTCTGTTGTAATTCTCATTTATTTATAGCTAATAATTAAATTATCGTTATATCTCTAACAAAATAGCACCCGTTATAACTACTAAATAATCATTTTCACAACTGCAACAATAAAACTAGGTAAACTGATTATAATACAAGTAATAGAAACAACAAGGAGTACTCGAAATTAGTTTTTCTAAGAGTAGAATTCTTGATAATAAATTCATTTTGTTAATCTTAGAAAGAGAATGTAATTATCTTAGGACTTGGTTCTTTCATGGTTAAATTAGTTGATATAATAATGATTAAGAGATACTATTATTTGTACATAGATCATCAATGAAGTTGAAATAAAACCTAAATTACAAATACCTACATAAAAAAAATGTAATATAAAATAAAATAAAAAGTTTCGTTCAATGTCTCAAGTGACATGGTTCATTAAAGTGCAAATAAATACACGTTTTATTTGTACTCTTTCATTATTCCATTAAACAAACTATTTATCCTTATTCAATCTTATGTAACAAAATAATTAATCTGCTTATAATTTAGCTTGTTTATCAACTTCTGTTGTGTATCAACTATTTAATTAATTATAAACTACATCCACTATCAATTTATTTTTTTTCCATTTTATATTTTATTTTTAAAAAAAAACAAAAACTTCTTTTAACTGTTTAATTAACTTTTTAAAAAGTCTTTTTTTTCTATGTTTTTCATATTATCCATTTCATTTTTTCCATTTACCAAAAGAGAGAAAAAATATCTTAAATCTTTACTATTTACTTGAATCTAAATAGAATCACAATTAAAAACTTATTTGTTTTTCTATAAAAAAATTATGCATAAAAATATTTTTATCTATTTTTTTTAAACTCATTTAAATTATAAATTCAGTGTTATGTTTAAACAACAGTGCTAGCAAGATAGAAAGGAAAAAACACTCCCCCCTCACACACATCCTCACACACACAAACACAAAACTGAAACTAAAAACGATAACGATATTTTCTTTAAGAAAAAAAACTGACTATAAATATCATTTGCTTATTTCCTGAAACTTTGATTTCTTTTATATCCCTTGTTTATTTTTATTTTTATCTGTATTTTTTTGTTGTTGTTGGAGAGATAAAAAAGATTCCTAAAAAATTCGAAGCAATTTTTTCATTCATCCGTTCATGATGATTAAAAGTTGAATAGAATATTGAACATTTGAAAAAATAATAAGAACGAAATAATTAAAACAAAATTTATTGAAGATTGATATTTTATATATTGAATTAGATAAACTCTAAAAGCATATTTCCTAAATAAATAAATAATTATTTGAGAAATGAATAAACCACAATAGATTTGTTTTCAAAAATTATTTAGATGTTTACATTCATA